CACCCCGACTTATGCTGACCCCATGAATGCGCGCTGACCCCATGAATGCGCGCTCTCCAACATGCCCTGCTCCACTCTTGCAAACTCATTCCTGTAGTTCCCTTCCTGGAGTCAATCTGTCTCATGTTTGGACTTCATCTTTTCCTGCTGCCCTTTACATTTTCCAGCACTATTTTCTTTTCCCCCCAGAAAATCCTGCTATTCTCACCATGGGCTTGAAGAAGGAGAGCCTCAGCTCCATAATTTTTTGCCTCCAGAGAGGGTTCAGGCTGCAGGAGACTGGCCAGCCCACGCCTCTCTGGGGGTGCTGATTCCCCCCACCCCCCATGACCAGACTTTGGTGGCTCCAGGCACCTCCCTTAGGGCCAAGAGAGGGATGGGGGGGAAAAGGAAGAGGTGGGCAATGGAACTTGAGCTGAATGAACCAACAGACAAGGGGCAGCAAGGGGAGAAGAGCCAGCTCCCTCTGCAGATACAGAGCTGCCTCGGAGGAAACGCCTTCAGGAGCGCCTAAGAAGGGGACACCCCGGAAATCTACCCCTGATGATGATTAAAAAGTCCTATCAGTTGATTGTTCACAGGCCCCACGTTCCTCTGGCTGATGCATCAGTGCCATCAGTGGGGGACCTCCCTCCTCCATGCCAGCGATGGTGAGGATACCTTGGAGGATTCCCGAGGGACCGGGGGATTCAGGATCCTCCTTAGAAAAAGTCCAGGGAGCTTCTTCCTGAGCTGTCAGGCGGCTGGATCCTCCTCTGTCCTCGGCGAGCAGATTACTTCCGTTCATTTCTTCCGACAGACCTTAAAATCAGGGAAGGCATAAACAAGGCAATGGAAGCGTTGATGGCAGAGGCACCCTTCGCCCCTTTTCCAGGGGTCAACACACCGGTTCAGGCGGGTGACGGGTGCGGCTGAGCCACGGGCAGGCTCCCCTTCAGCAAGGAAAGACCCGTTTGGGGGAAACCTCTGGCCCCAGTTTGGATTGGAAGGAAGGATGAAAAACAAAGCCCTGCCTTGTCTGGGAAGGAGAAGGAGGGGGTGGCACAGATCAGGCAACTTTTCTCTTGCAGAATAGCCCCCAGCTCAACTCATTTGTGCCAGGCAGCCAAAAACACAACCCTTTCAGAACATCAGAGGCTGGCGAGCCGTGTAGACAGCCCTCAGCCTGATGCCAGCCCCCCCCCACAAATTGGGGGGGGCAGGAGAGACCCCAGCGCCGACAGAGAACATGGAACACCCTCGGTCAGTGGGCGTCGCATACCATCGGGCATGGCAACATGGCCCAGAACATTGGGGCATGTGTTTTTGTTCATTCAGATTGACTTTTACTGTGCAGGTTTTGTGAGCATACTTTACTTTATTTAACCTGAGTTAAACGGCTTCTTCGGTCTGTGCTTCCCCCACCCCCCAATATAATTTTGTTGAGAAGGAAAGAAGAAGGCCATTGACACATTGCACTTTTTATTTTATTTTTCATAAGACCCTTATGCTGCAATTCCGTACAGATTTCTAAGCCTGTATGCCAGACTAATTTCTTCAGTACGAACATGAAGCCTCTCAGTATGCTTGCGTTCCCCCCCCCTCCACCTTATGTATTGTTTCCCATAGACCTTCTGAAATCCATCTTGAAAGGCAGTGCCTCCCAACCTGGGGTCGCCAGAGGTTCTTGGACTGCATTTCCCAAAAAATCCTGGCTGGTGCAGCTTGAGGTTCTGGGAGTTTTAGTCCAAGAACCCCCGTTTGGGAGCCGCTGCTGTAAGGCATTGCTTGGGCTGGGCTGCGGACGAGTTTTTATCACGATGCTCCTGGAAAAATACTGCAAAGTTGCTGCGTTGCCCAATTGCCATTTGGTTTTAATCCCTCCAATAAATCCCATAGTTTCCTAATCATTCTGCTCTGTAACTGAGTCACCTCTTCCCCCAAAAGCTTTCATCTGATTGTCTGTTTGGAGTGTTTATTTGGGGCAGCTTTGGAGACCTCAACTCGTGTTCCCATTTTCTAACTGCACTTTTTTTTTCGGGGGTGGGTGGGGTGTCTACCCAATTTGTTCTTAATTTGTCATTTTCTACCCCTTTGGGGGCTACATCTGCATCCCATTAATACAAGTTTTTTTGCTGTCGCTGTGCAAGGGATGTAACAATCATGCTCTTGGCGTCGCTTCCTACCTCTCAATTAACATGTACTGTAATAAAAGTACAAATTAAAAAAAAATAAAGTACAGGTCCCGTTTGCGTTCACGCGGGCCCTTGCCAGGCAGTTTGGCTGGTCAGTAAATAACTTCACTAGTAAATAACTTAACTGTTGCGTCTCCTTCTGTGAAAAGCGCCGGCTCTTTGACAATTCCACACGGGTAGTTACCTGGGGTTCGATGCGCTTTGCGAATGACCCTCCCTTTTCTGATGAAGTTGGCCAAGCTATCTTAGGGCTTAGGAAAGTTCAGGCCTGCCCGGTCGCTTCCAGGTTTCATATCAGAATTTCAGACCTCTTGAGGGTCAGACCCTTTGATAGAGGGTCCCCTTATTGAGAGAAATGTGGCTCATAAATCAAAGAGACAGGGCGCGGATGGAATCATGGAGTGGCAGAAGGCCTCCCGAGGTCATTAAGTCCATGAAGCAGGAGATCCATAGATGGCCATCTCACCTTCCATTTAGGAAGACACCACCCCCACCACCCCCCGAAGAAAAGCCTCCCACCCTCCAAGGCCATCTCAATCCAGTGGCAAACTGTTTTGACCATGGAGAAGGTCTTCCAAATGATTAGGCAAGAAGGACATTTCCGTTGACAGCTTCCCAAAACCGTTGTTCCATCTTCACTGAGCCTTGCGAATCCACCTCTCACTCAAAGTTCGGTGCCAGGTGGGTTGGTTTTCATGAAGGGGCTTGCTTGTAAGAGCAACGGTCCTGATTCTTTCAGACCCATCGTGCCCAACTTGGAGTTCCCCCCCCCAGGGTGGTTCTTGGACTACAACTCCCATAAACCCAAGAAGCAGATGCAGAGACTCAAGGTTGGGAACCACAGTTTTTAACAGAACCCTCAGTTTTCCTTTTATTCCTGTCATGGTTATCCCAGACATCTGTCCTCCCCGCCCCGTTTTAAATGCAGAGCGTCGAAATCAGAGCATCGGGAGCATCAATCAAGAAATGGTCATACATGAAGTTCCGGGGTGCTGCCGTTGAGTGGGCGCCCGCTGAGCCACAAATAAGCTATTTGGTCAGAAAACAAGCCCCTCCACACCAGGGGGTTCTGCCCCTCTCTAAGCCAGACGATTGCAGAATCCTGCCCCATTCAGTTACATAGCCTGGCGGGCGGGGGGGGGAACATGTGGCCGTTTGCTGATTTTGTTGGACTATGCCTCCCATCAGCCAGTATAACCAACAGTCAGGGACGTGGCAGGCTGAAGTCAAGCCGTCTTGTGTGGGGCCTCCCATAGAGACTGTGTACGGATATGTGAACATGGGGCCGTTCTGCCGTTGTTGGGCTACGTCTCCCATGATCCCCTTTCCATGGGACATGGTCTGCTTGGGACAGATGGGAGTCGGAGCCCAGGAGCACCCGGAGGGCCACCTGCTCCCCATCGGTGAGGGACAAGGGGTTGCCCGAGCCGGCGTGAACCTGGGCTGGTGGAAATCAAAGGGGTTGCCTCACCCTAAAACTTCGCAGGAGGGCACAGGCGTTCCCAGCCCCACGTCCTCTGGGGCTGAAAAGGGGCAGAGCTGGCGCCGTTTTACTTCTTGGGGAAATGGCAGCCAGGCCTCTCCTTCTCCAGACCCCCCTCCTCCTCCCCAGCCTGGCACACACGGGGCGTGCGATTCTTTCTGGGAGCCCCACCGGGGAGCCCACGTCTTTACTGCTCCATTGTTAGAAACCTCCTTAAAAATAATTAATGACAATGGTAACGTTTTAATGGAAACCATGTTCTCTCTTTTTTCTTTTCAAAATCCAGACTTTTTAATGAAAACCAATAGTGTTTTTGTTTTGTTTTCCTTTTTGAAAG